GAGCCAGCAACGCCGTGTCCAAGCACGACCGAGCCAGCGACACCCTGTCCAAGCACGACCGAGCCAGCAACGCCGTGTCCTAGCACAACCGAGCCAGCGACACCCTGTCCAAGCACGACCGAGCCAGCGACACCCTGTCCAAGCACGACCGAGCCAGCAACGCCGTGTCCTAGCACAACAGAGCCGGTGACTCCGTGTCCTAGTACGACCGAGCCAGCAACGCCCTGTCCAAGCATGACGGAGCCGGTGGCACCCTGTCCTAGTACAACCGAGGCAGCAACGCCCTGTCCAAGCACGACTGAGCCGGCGACGCAACCTCCAACAACACAATCGCCGATTCAGCAATACTCGTCGCCTTCTGACGTCGACACACCAACAGAGGCTGCCACACAGCAGCCGGACTCCCAATTCGACACTCTTACACAGTCTGCCTCCACTCCAACGGAGAGCCAATTGGTTTCGTTCGCAACGACGTCGACAAGCACTTCCGATACCCCACCCACAGGCTCTACCGGCACTGCTTCACTTGTGATCGCCGTCGCCTTCGGTGCCGTCGCCGTAGTCGCCGCTGCTATCCTGTACAAGAAGAGACGCAATTCCCACGCAGAGCGACGTCTAAGCGAAGATTTCGCCATGCACGCTGTCATCACGCCAGTCTAGACGAAAAATTCCATTCCAACAACCTGCTAACTCGAAATTTCCTCTTCCCAACACAAATTATTGACTTTCATCCTTGTGACGACTGTGAGAGAGCCGTATCCTCCGCAGTTTGAGTCAGAGTATTGAATTCACTCTCATCTTTTACGTCAAAGTCCGGATTGTCCTCGCCAAGTCGCTGGCCTTGCAGTAAACTGTCCACAACCCAGCGTGCTTTAACCACTTGAATTCCCCACTGCTTGGCCTTCACGAACTTCATTCCAAATCCTTTTTTACAGATCAGATGCGTGTTCTGTGCGCTGAGTTTGGTCGTGACTCGAGCGCCCGCAACTCGTAATAATTCCATAACCACAAGTTGTTCCACATCACGGTAATTTGACGTAGACGCTATCACGTTCTGGAAGCCTCGTAAAGGCACTGGACACGTGAAAAGCGCACGGGGACGGTACGCACTGACACCGAAGAGTTCGTGCGAAGAGAAGGACAGCTTCATCTTGGCAGCAAGCGAGCAATTGACCCACAAATCCGATACAAACTGCAGCATCCGTTGTCGAGGTTTCTTGTCTTGTGGTGCTCGCTTTCTAGGTCTCTCTTCTTCAGTCTCTGCGTCGGTGTTACGGAGGCTTCGTTGGATCTGATGGATGCGCTCTTGCATCTTTAAAGCTTCCAGTTCATCCATCTCTACGCCAGTACAGACAACCGCGTGGCTGATAAACGAGAACTGCTCGGGATCCAAATGTGGGAAGTCGATGGCTGCTAGCGCGATGGCTTCAGCTCCTCCGCGTTTTCCACGTATCTCTCGTAACATTGGTTTGATCATGTGCTTATCGTCTGGATCTCGACATAACAGCAGAAAAGCATAACCCGAGAATATAGCTGTCTTCTTCTCTGTCTTCTCTGGAGTCACTAAAATGCTGATGCCATCGGCTTTTTCCAGTAAATCTTCGGATAGAATAACGGGGTTGGAGCTGGTGGCTTGTGCTTCAACGCTCTTCTGTTCAATGGGAGCACTAATAGCAGTGCTTTGTACGTTTTCTGACACGTTAACGTCGAATTCGACTGGATAGAGCTCCTCCGGTTGTAAGTTTAGACACTTAACACAGTCAATGAGCCAACTAGCTGACACAAAATGCACCTCATCCAGTGCATTGGCAGCAGCCACACGCGTTCGAATCATCTCCAGTGTTTGTTTATCCGACAACGACGCACTAACCACGATATGCGTCACATGACTTATCACCACATTGTGGTAGATTGTGCCCATACCAGTGCGTATTAAACGCTGTAACAACGCGTTCATTTGAGGCGAAAAGCCCAGTAGATATAACACACATCCGTCGAATAAATCCATCCAATCTTCATCTTCTGCTCCGCCCTCTTTGTGACGATATTTCTTGACAATCTCCGGCAATGTCGCCACTAATTCCTGGGCGTCTTTCTGCTGATTCACTGCGATATATGTCGGCTGGAGACTCGAGTTCTCTTCTTCTGAATGTAGAGCGAATTCTTCCTCCTCTACCAGCATATTCCTCTCTATACAAGCATAAAGCCACCCGAGATGTACGACTGGAATGTCATTGGCCACTGCAGCCTCGTACTTGGCTCCTTGTGGGTGTTTTGCGATGAGAATACTAGTGAATCCCAGCTCCAATCTACCATCGTATTGCGCTCCATTGGCTGCGGCTTGCTGCGCTACCGCCTCCTTCTCCTCCATACTCAGTCCGGCAGTGCAGATCCCCATACCTTCGAGTAGTCTGAGGCCGAAATCGTTGACATTAAGTAGTTTCTGAGCCCGAAAACTCTCAAAAACCCAGTGAGGAGACGCAACTGGGAGCTCATGGGCCGCGGCAACCTAGAATAATGACATTTGTGAATGATACCTTGCGTAAATTGGGACTGAGGCCATTTGTGGGTTAGTTGGAGCCGTACGCGGTGTTTTAAAGAGCCCACAACATCGGCAATCAAGTGCGTGCTGGTGTTGGGGTCTAAATCGTCCTCAAAGCGACCGCCACAGGCCACGACGATCTTGCGCACTTGTTCCTGGAGATAAGTGGACAGTTGAGGTGTAGCAGTCAGCAGAAAACGATTAAGAGCGGGGAATGGAGTGCATCGTATAGAGCAGTCAGAGACAGAGATGATCCATACCTTGACGTCCAGCTCCAGTCCCGTGGAGCAGAGAACCAGCCCCACGAACATCTTGTCTTGCTCGCCCATGGTTTACTCGGTAGTTGGCATTTTCAGGACGATAAATTCAAAGAGTTTTTTTTTTTAAATTAAGAATAGTTTACATCAATTTTGCCGCCCGATTTGCTGGAGTATCTTGGCGTCCGATATAAATAAAACGGACAGAGATTAGTGTAAGCAGGTCCGATTTAGCTATATCTGATCAGACATGACTTTATAGTACATTTTCGCCCTGTTGAACTACAGTATACACAACAAAACTTTACCACGATCAGAACCCTATAGGTAGTATATGACCATGGCAGTAATACCACATAACTCTTGAGAATGATACCAAGCTAAGGCTCTAACTTTTGGTCGTATTCTTGTCCATAATTTTCAAGGTGTTGGGGTTATAGAATAAATATTTTATTTTTATAATTGAGTTAGCAATGAAAAATTGGTCGTTGAGTGGGCTATAAGAGCATTCCCACCGGTTGAAACTAAACCA